TATATATATATTTGCTCACCCATCCAAATTATCAGAATCAGGTGTTTCAACCACTTCCACGGCCACAGGTGTATAAAAAAAATGTAGCTCCTTGCCAATGTCATTGTGCCCCTGAGCAAGACAACACCCAACTGCTCCCCGGGAGCTAACATTGCTGCCTGCCGCTACACTTGTGTGTTTCTTACATGTGATGGGTCAAATGCAGAGCACAAATGTCACCGCTGCATGGGAACATGCATTGATGATAAGTAAAGTACTTTTAAATCATCAGCCTTCTGGAATCATGGAGGGACTGGAGTCTGAAAACACAAACTAATTTAACTGATGACCATGAAAATCCCCCATGTTTATAATCAGAACATATAAAACAGCCACAGCCTTATGTTTTTAGTTTAGCCTGAAGTCATGAACCTGCATTCACTCACATAGGATTAGCATTCATGATGAAGAAAGAGCTGCGTTTAAAGGCAAAGCGCTCAAGTTAATGGTCTGTCTACGTTCTAACCCTCACCTGTGGTCACGAGGCGTGGATTATGACCAAAAGAACAAAATCCCGGATACAAGCGGCCGAGATGAGCTTCCTTCATAGAGTGGCCGGGCTCAGCCTAGAGGGTGAGGAGCTCCGTCATCCAGGGGAAGCTTGGACTAGAACCGCTGCTCCTCCACAATGATAGGAATCAGTGGAGGTGGTTCATCTGATTAGGATGCCTCCTTGACGCCTCCCTTTARAGGTGTTCTGGGTACATCCCACTGCGAACACCTCGGTCCCCCAGAATGAGCTGGAAAGTGTCGCTGGGGAGAGGACTGTCTGGATTTCTCTTTTGGACCTGGACCGTACAAGTGGGAGAAGATGGAGAGGGAGATTTACAAAAGACAAAACAAGTGTAAAGGAGCCCATTTCAAGCCTTGAGCAGGAGACTGATGAGATTTACAGAAGGATGTGCAAAAAGGAGCTCACTAAGAACAAGGTCTTCACCGTTAGCTCGTCACCTTTATGAGGACCATGGGGCTGAGCAGACTGGCTGGTTTAGCCATTGGACACAACTCCAAAGTAAAATGGAATTTTTATGTTATTCATCAATCAAACCACAAATTACATATTTTAAAAAAAAGATGGCTATGACAATAAAGCCAAAAGACAGATAAAAATGCTTGGAACAGACATAGTAGTTCAAACAAATAAGGTTTAAATAAAATCACATACGGGAACCTAACTTTATGGTCCATAGAGGTGGGCGATTCTGGGAATTTTGGTATTGATCCGATACAAGTAAATACAGGGCCAGTATCACCGATACCGATACGACACCTTTTAAGCTTCATAATTTGAAAAGATCCAAAAGATCTAGGATAGAATTTAGCCAAATATTGTTYGTGACAGCAAAATACTTTATTATAACAATCAGTATTTTTGTTTGCCAACAATAGAGCAGTAACAAAACAGTTTCCTTTAACCTTAGGAAAATATATCTTTTATACAAAAATAAAATAAAAATTCTTCCCTCACTGCCTACTCGGTGAAAACGCTGAGTGGGTGGGCCAGGATGAGCCTACCTGCTTAGCTTAGCTGTTTGGCTAGTGCTGCGCTGCTGAGCCACGTGACGGTGCAACAACAAAAGACGAGAGGTGGGGGAGGGTGCGCTCGCTGCTCCGTGTGTGTGTGGCACAGTGCAGCACTACAGAGTAGACTTTGAAAAATCTGCGTGTGCAGCAGTCAGTGTGTGCGGGAAAGAACAAAGCTTGAGTATCGATCTTTTTACACGAGTATTGTTCAATATCAATACCAGCGTTGGTATCGACATTATCGATATTAGTATCGATCCACCCACCTCTAGTCCGTATGTTCAGGTATGCATTTAACAATCATTTTGCTGTACGCAGTATGTGCCTAAAGCAATTCATGTCTGCTAATTCTGGAGTCTTACAGAAAGAATATTTGTGTGCAGATTGACATATAGACAAAAAAGTCAGCATGATATGATTGAAACGAACAAACACTACTTTTATTTTTTTTTAATTTATGTAGTATTTAATTTGATGCTGTCATTATTTTGAGCTCTTGATGACTTTCACTTAACCTCAACTGAAAAAGAAACATTTTTAAATAATGAGGCAAGTACACATGTGGACACGTGGATCATTGCACAAGCTGTGCTACTGTAGCTTATCATAAAAACATGATAAGACTGTTTCCTTTTCCAACAAGAGGTAGAATAGGGGTTCTGCATTCAAAGCAGGTTGTTGCGTATTTGTGCTTTATCTTYGTAAGATACTGAAGTGGCTAATTATGATACATGTTATAAAATTGTTGCTAAAACTTTTCAACTGTATGCATTGTAAAGGCTCACGCTGAGCTTTATTTCAGTACAGATTACCAACTGGCAGTAAAATATAATTCTCATGCAGGTTTGTGGTTAGACCTTCCAATGTGTGTTTCATGGCATTATTCAAAAGTATTTATTATGTTGTTTTCACAGATGTAAAAGAAGAGGCCAAGGCCCGGCAAGTCAGCAGACATGCCAGGCCTCAACAGGCTATGTTTGCAAGAGAGAATTAAAAATGTTTTAATAATAAATAGGTAATTTCTTATGCTTTTTGGCTGTTCCCTCTTCGTGGGTCTCATGTGGTCACTCTGTCCTCTGCATCATCTGTCCTCACTCTCCAWGTCCACTAACTGCATCCTTAAATTTCCTCTTCACCTTTTTCCTGGAAGCTGCACCTCATCCTTCTACAGTGTACTAGAGATGTGCRTTTGTGAACGATCCAAATCTTTTGAACGACTCCTTATAATGAACAATAGGAACTAAATTGCAGACAGTGAAGAGCTGCTTGTAATTTTATTATTTTACTCCAGGTAATGTTATTAATTTTCCTCCATGACCATAGAGACTATTGCTTCTCCTTCATTTTTCACAGAAAACAAGCAGGGCTTGGAGTACATTAGCTCAGGGGGGGGGAAAGGAGAGGAGTTCCCTGGGTCTCTCTGACCAGCATACCATGACAGAAACAAAACCGGTCTGTCTGTGGAAATTCACTGGTGAATGAATGTCAATAGGTGGTAAATATAGTTTATATAATTCATATTGTATGTAGACATATGCTAGTT